CACTAGGGAGGAAAAGTCCCAGTGACAGGCTGGTTGTTGACTGTGGAAGGAAAGGGAAGTCTGACAATAACTACTAGCCTTTGGGCCTAATTACTGCATGCTATTTACCATGTGACAGGACAGTGGATGAGGAGCAAGTGGGAAAAGCAGGAGGCTGCATGATGGCAAGTATGCAAAACATCCCCGTGATGCTGTCCACATGAGCAAGCTGGACACTGGTCTGGAGAAAGACTTGAGCGTCATCCATATGTAGATGGTTAAGTGGAGCTGTCAGAGGGTTGAGATCACCTAGAAAGAGTATGAGAAAAGAAAAGGCCTAGGAAGAGAATGCTGACACTTAAAACACAACAAGAATCCTTTATAACAACAAAAAAATGGAAATACCTTAATGTCTCTCAATAGGAAAATAGCTAAATACAGCATATCTATACTAGAAAATATTATACAGTAGCAAATATCAATGAGAAGTATCTTTATGTACCAATATGAAATATTGTCAAGGCACCTTACTGAATCAAAGAAATACCAAAATGATCCATAAAATGTGACCCCATTTGTATAAATAAGACACAAAATTAACACTTTTCGGGGTTCATGCATATGTATGTAAACACAGAGAAAAAGTCTGGTATATACAAATTCCAAACACTAACAGGTTACCACCTCTAAGGAATACAAAAATAACTGAAATGGGTGTGGGGGGAGCAGGAGAATTCAAAATATCTACAGATTTTAATTTTTTTTAATTATATTACTACATTCCCTATAAAGCTATAGATCAATTTTTCAAAAAATAATGGGAATCTCAGGGCGCCTGACTGGCTCAGTTGGTAGAGCATGTGATTCTTGACCTCAGGGTCGTGAGTTTGAGCCCCACCTTGGGCACTTACTTAAGTATAGTAATAACGGGAATCTTTGTATCTTTCCTTCAATTTAGCTGTGAACCTCAAACTGTTCTAAAAAAAAACCTTTTTTTTTTTAAATGGGAGCCTACAAATGGGACAAGAGGGAGCCTACAAACGATATCCACTGTTATAGATGCTAAATTTTCTCTGTCCCTTCCACTCCCAATGGCCTTGGTGTTCAGATTTTAAGGCTTCCCATTCTCCCCACATCTAAGATATTAACACAAAGCTCCCTAATTCCACGGTCTATCCTGAATCACTAGACCCAGGCCAAGCCTGACCACCAATCCCCGAGCCTGGGCCAGAGTCCCAGGAGGAGAGGTCAGACACCAAAGTCTTTTTTTCTTTTCTTTTCCAATTTTTTATTGTTATGTTAATCACCATACATTACATCATTAGTTTTTGATGTAGTGTTCCATGATTCATTGTTTGTGCATAACTCCCAGTGCTCCACGCAGAACGTGCCCTCTTTAATACCCATCACCAGGCTAACCCATCCCCCCACTTCACCCCCCCCAGAACCCTCTGTTTTTCAGAGTCCATCGTCTCTAATGGTTCATCTCCCCCTGATTTACTCCCTTCATTCTTCCCCTCCTGCTATCTTCTTTTTTTTTTCTTAACATATATTGCATTATTTGTTTCAGAGGTACAGATCTGTGATTCAATAGTCTTGCACAATTCACAGCGCTCACCATGGCACATACCCTCCCCACTGTCTATCACCCAGCCACCCCATCCCTCCCACCCCCCACCACTCCAGCAACCCTCAGTTTGTTTCCTGAGATTAAGAATTCCTCATATCAGTGAGGTCATATGATACATGTCTTTCTCTGATTGACTTATTTCACCCAGCACAACACCCTCCAGTTCCATCCACGTCGTTGAAATGGCAAGATCTCATTCCTTTTGATGGCTGCATAATATTCCATTGTGTATATATACCACCTCTTCTTTATCCATTCATCTGTCAATGGACATCCTGGCTTTCCAGAGTTTGGGTATTGTGGACATTGCTACTATAAACATTGGGGTGCACGTACCCCTTCGGATCCCTACATTTGTATCTTTGAGGTAAATACCCAGTAGTGCAATTGCTGGATCGTATGGTAGCTCTATTTTCAACTGTTTGAGGAACCTCCATACTGTTTTCCAGAGTGGTTGCACCAGCTTGCATTCCCACCAACAGTGTAGGAGGGTTCCCCTTTCTCCGCATCCCCGCCAACATCTGTCGTTTCCTGACTTGTTAATTTTAGCCATTCTGACTGGTGTGAGGTGGCATCTCATTGAAGTTTTGATTTGGATTTCCCTGATGCCAAGCGATGTTGAGCCAGACACCAAAGTCTTAAACAAACATGGGGCACCTGGCTGGCTCAGTTAGTAGAGCATGCATCTCTTGATCTTAGGGTTGTGAGTTTGAGCCCCATATTGATGCAAAGATTACTTAAAAAAATAAAATCTTAAAAAAACAACCACGACCACCACCATGGGAGAATGAGTATAGATGCCAACCTCAAGGACAGGGATCAGGTGGCCTTGCTGGCCAGTAAAAATCTCAATGGAGAAAAGGTATTTGAAGGTCTACAAGCAGCTTTGCAGTACTGAGGGTAGTGGCTGGGGGACAGTCAGGCAAAATTAGGGGGAAGTGGTATGGGGTGAGTTAAAGAAAGAGCCAGTACTGCTTACAAAGATTCCAAGCAAAGTGCTAGAGTATCATGGAAACCAGTTTCACAACAAAGGTAAGAGGGAAGCCAAATTCTGTGACGGGGTTGGGGCCAGGACATGGGGGTATGTGTGTCTAGAGGTATCTGGAGGAGTCACTTCACATCAAAGCAGTAATTCCAGGAGGCACAATATAAACGTTTAGAAGCTGGAGCAGCAGAAAGAAGCCTTCCTGAAAAGAAAGGAGGCTCTAAAAACGAGGAGAAAAGCCACTGAAACAATGCCTTTCCTTCTTCAGTAAACCAAAAGCAGCAAGATCATGGCAGATCTCTGATGACTGTACTCTTAAGTTTCAACTGTCTAAGGATGAAAGACAACATATTTGGTCTACATGTTTTCCTGGTTACGCAAAGAAATAGCACTACCTGGGCCTTACCCAACAGCTGATTCACCATCAATCAGTCTATATCACAGCCTGCTGAGCCTTACACTTCACACAGTCACATACCAAACTCTAGAAAAAAACAACCCGGTGTGAGCTGTCAAAGTCCTCTCGGTACCTGACCTCACCCTCTGGGGTAGGTTTCATTTCAAAACTGAAAGGAACTGAGAGCTGGGGAAATCCAAAGATCAACAAAGGCAAGAACAGGTGGTTCCCAGTAGAAAAGGGTCCCAGGCTGTAACTCGAAACAGAAACCAGACCACTGATAAGACAGTTTATGATGTCTGTCTCCAAGCTTTCAGATACTTACATGTTTTCCAATATTTACAACAGGGCATGACCATGCTTATCCAACTCCTGACAATTAGATATCTAATTCTCCAAGTGTTCACTCAATTTCCTGGCTTTATTAAGTTTTAGAGCTCTGGGGTAAATCTAGTAACTGAGATACCTTGTGAATTTTATAGTCCTTCAAATTGGCCACATTTTTTTAAAGATTTTACTTATTTATTTAACCTAGGGGGAGGAAGAGGCAGATGGGGAGGGAGAAGGACAGGGAGAGAATCCCAAGAAGACTCCGTAACACAGGGCTCAATCCCATGACCCTGAGCTCACGACCCAAGCAAAAACCAAGAGTCAGACACCCAACTGACTGAGCCACCTAGGCACCCCAAATGGGTCACATTTTAATCATAATGAACTTTATCATCTCTTCCTCCTTCTTCATCTCCTCACAAACCCTCAGCAAAATCCCTGTCTCACTAAAAAATTTCCATGTTTTTCATGATGGCTCTCTCAACAGAGCAACAGTCAATACAATGAAAGACTAGTTCATCAAAGAAATCAAGTTATTTGTTTGAGGTTCACTATTAACTAGCTGAGTGACCTTGAACAAGTCACTTAACCTTTCTGGACTTGGTTTCTTCATCTGTAAAGTAAGGAGGTTGGAAACAGACAGAAGGAAGGCAATAAAATTTCCTTGAACTAAGAAAATACAAATTTTTAAGTCTAAACAGTTCAACAAGTGGCAAGCAGAGTTATTTTAAAAAGACACATACCAAGGGGCACATGGGTAGCTCAGTTGTTAAGTGTCTGCCTTCGGCTCAGGTCATGATCCCAGGGTCCTGGGATCCAGCCCCGCATCAGGCTCCTTGCTCTCACTCCCCCTGCTTGTGTTCCCACTCTTGCTGTGTCTCTCTCTGTCAAAATAAATAAATAAATAAGATCTTTAAAATAAATAAATAAATAAAAATTAAAAAAAAAAAGAAAAAATCACTCAGAGAAAGAAGCATCCTATTCAAATTAATATTTAAAACTGGAGCAAAGCTGGGAAAGACAAAAGTGTACCCAAGACATGTTTTCCCTCCCCCAAAAAAGATCTTTTAATGAGGCTGTACCAGATGACTTCTGACGGCCTTTCCAAGTATAAACAGAAACTGTCCTACACACAACCATCCTTGAAGTCTAGGTTTGTGAGTTGTTCATCACCTAGTGGCCTGATGAAGTAAATGCAGTTTTGTCAAATGCCCGGATAAACTTCCAGCCATTTTGTGAGCTCTGACAGTGTGAAGCTCTGACAGTCTAATGTCCTAGAGATAAGAAGAGTAGGAGACCGCAAACCCTCCAGACTCATATACAATTGTTGAGACTCAGGTCACTATCCATTCATTCTCCAAAGATGTGGGAAGGGCCCATACTTTGTGCCTAACCATAAGAAGTGAAGTATAGATTTGTTGTTGCAAGGCTGTACTTGTAAAGCAGTAAAAAAACAGAGACTGCTTTTGTGCAGACCAATTCAAATTGAAATCAAGTTTAGATGCTATGAGAAAACTGCAAAATGCCTTATAAATAGGAAGAGTGTATTCAAACATTCACAAGACTGGCATGTGAAAGATGGATTATATTTATCCTGTATGGTTCCAGGGAACAGGCCTAAAACTGATGAGAAGTCATCTCAATTAGATTTCAATTCAAAACAAGAAATAATATCTTACCAAAGAGAGCTACTCAACATATAATGGGATTCCTCAAGAAGTGATGAGCTCCCCAGCAATGGAAACATTCAAAAAGACCTTGGGTGATCATCTGTCAGGGGGATAATGGAAAGCATTCCTGTAAATGGATGGCAGACAGGAGACAAGGAGATTGACTATTACTGCAAAGGCCCTTTCCAACTCCAAGAGTCTATCATTCTAAATAAAACAAAAACAAAACAAACATCATTAATAAATAGAGTCCTCCCTCTGCTTTTTTTTTTTTTAAGTTCCAACCAGGCAGTACAATACAGTGGGTTGGATACCACTTTCCACTTGAGTAACTACAGACAAATTATTTAACTCTATTTGCCTCACTTTCATTATCTGTGAATTTAAAATAGTACACTTATCTCATAAGATTACTATGAAGATTAAACAGCAAACTTAACAAAGTACTAACACACAGAAAGTGTATAAAACTGGGAGCTTTAAAGGAAAGGTAGCTGGTGGGGGGGGGGGCAGGGGAGGGTGGAAAGTGAAACCTAAATGTGCTGCTTGTTTTAGTTATCTGTACCCAACTCTCAACCAAAGCATTCCTGAGTGTTGCTGGCCAGCGGCTACGTTCCCTAGGCAACCAGCCTCAAAAAAGAGCCCAGCCCTACCTTCTTCAGGAAGGCAGTATTCTCTGTCCTGAAATCTGGCATCCTCCCTTGCACAAAGAGGGTCCCTAAAATCTCAAAAATACCACCACTCCAAAATCAAGGAGCTGAGCAAATATTATTCTCCTCACTTCAAAAAGTCAATCAGAACATCAGAGTTAAAAGGGATCTCAGAGACCATCTAGAGTGACCCTTTTGTTTAATGAATGAGGACAATAAAGCTGAGAAAAGTGAAGTCCTGGATGTTGGTGACAAGGTTAAGACAAGATCACAGGCCTCCTTATTTCTAGCCCAGTAGTCAAAAGCTTCCCATTTTTCCGACGGGAAAAACAGGACCGACCCTACCAAGCCATCTGCCCCATACTATGTGCTTTAGACAGGTAAGAAAAGAACAGAAACAGTAGAGTGTGGAGGTTAAGAATGTAGACTCTAAAGCCAGATTGCATATTCAAATCCCAGCACTGACTGTGAGTTTAAGCATGTTTCCTAATCTCTTTGTATTCTATAAAATAGGGATAAGAGTGACTACCTTCTAGGGTTACATTAAGAAATAGATGAGATAACCCATGTCAAATGCATGGCACATAAAGTGCTCAATGTATACACTGCTCTGCTTCTCATCATTACCAGTTGTATTAGGAAACACAATCATAGTAACAAGACACAGGACAAGCTCTTACTTAGGTCCAAAAGTAGTAAGATACAGGTGTTTATTTAGCTCCATTTCCTGGCCCCAGCCAGGGAACACTCAACCCCTCAGCAGAAGACCAAAAATGACCCATCACTTTCATTTCCTTGGATCTAGGGAAAAATCACTTCAGAGAATAACCAGTACATGCTATGGTGATAAGATGCTTAAGATCACAAATAAAGCTTATGTAGGTCTAAACCCAGTGTGACCTTCAGATCTATGCTCACCTCTCATGTTGGACAAAATACAGTTCATGCCCAATCTCTTCCCTCAGTCCATGATGATGGTACAGTATAATGGTAAGAAACAAGAGTGCTGGACGGAGTGCCTGGCTGGCTCAGTTGGTAGAGCATGCAACTCTTGAACTCAGGGTAGTGAGTTCAAGTCCCATGTTGGGTGTGGAGCCTATCTGGGAGAAAAAAGAAAGAAAGAAAGAAAGAAAGAAAGAAAGAAAGAAACAAGAACGCTGCAGTTTGCCCAGGATCAAATTACTGTTCAGTCATTTATTTGCTATGTCACTTAGGCATACTTTACCTCTTTCTAAGCCTCTGCTTCTCCAACTGCTTTAATTATTGTAACAGTGACATTTAGTGGGCACTTTCTTTTTTTCTTTTAAGATTTTATTTAGGGGTGCCTGTGTGGCTCAGTTGTTAGACGTCTGCCTTCGGCTCAGGTCATGATCCTTGGGTCCTTGGATTGAGCTCAGCATTGCGCTCCCTGCTCAACAGGAAGCCTGCTTCTCCCTCTCCCACTCCCCCTGCTTGTGTTCCCTCTCTCACTATGTCTCTCTGTGTCAAATAAATAAAATCTTTAAAAAAAATAAAAATAAAGATTTATTTGGCACACAGAGAGAGAGAGAGAGAGAGAGAAGGAAAGAGCAAGCACAAGCAGGGGTAATGACAGGCAGGGGAGAAGCAGGCTCCCCACTCAGCAAGGAGCCCGATGTGGGGCTCGATCCCAGGACCCTGGGATCATGACCTGAGCTGAAGCAGCCACTTAACCGACTGAGTCACCCAGGCACCCCATAGTGAGCACTTTCTATGTGCCAAGCGCTATCTTAAGTGCTTTACATGGCTTACATCATTTAATCATCACAACCTTATGAGGCAGGTACTATTATTATGCTCATTTTATAGATAAGGAAAAGGAGGCAGTTTTCTAATTCAAGGCCATACAGCTAATTACTGACAAAGCTGAGAAGTCAGGGCAGGAAGTCTGCACTGCTCTATTTCTCATAGCACCAGCCTTCATGTGGTTGCTATGCTATTAAAAGAAGACAATCTACATAAAGTACCTGGTTCATCAGTTAGCCATTACTATTATTGCTGCTATTATTATCATCAATCCCTTTGAGCCTCTTCAAATACTACTTCCTGAGTTCCAACTTCACTTAAAGGAAATGGTTGTTTGCCTATATCTACATACCAGCTCACTGGGCAGCCCGGGGAGGGGTTCTAGTATTTCACTGCCCTCATAATACAGAAGTATCTGGGTGGAAAGACAAGGAAGTATTTTCTAAAAACCTCCTACTCTAGAACGCTTGGGTAGCTCAGTCGGTTAAGCGACTGCCTTAGGCTCAGGTCATGATCCCAGGCTCCTGGGATAGAGTCCCGCACTGTGCTCCTTGCTCAGCGGGGAGCTTGCTTCTCCCTCTGCCTGCCGAACTCCCTGCTTGTGCTGACAAATAAGTAAGTAAAATCTTTAAAAGAAACAAACAAACAAACAAACCTCCTACCCTCAAGCAGCTCTTTCTGCCCATGGGTCCCACCCCCATGCTTTAATAAAATCACCGTTTTGGGTGTTATGCACAAACAATGAATCATGGAACACTACATCAAAAACTAATGATGTAATGTATGGCGATTAACATAACAATAAAAAATTTAAAAATTTTTAAATAAAAAATAAAATAAAATAAAATCACCGTTTTGCACCAAAAGACAAAACCAAACCCTCCCACTCTATAAAAAACAATATATTAACATCTTTGTTTGTAAAAATAAAATCTTCACCAATCTCACTAGAAAAGAAACATATGCATGTTAAAAATATTTTTCAAGAGATGCCTGGGTGGCTCAGTTGGTTGAGCGTCCAATTCTTGATTTAGGCTCAGGTCCTGATCTCAGGGTTGTGGGATTGAGCTCCATGCTTGATTGGGCCCCACGCTCAGTAGGGAGTCTGCTTGAGATTCTCTCTCTGTCCTTCCCTACTCCCCCGTGCATGCTCTCAATCCCGCTCTCTCTCTCTGAAATAAATAAATCTCTGGGATGCCTAGGTGGTTCAGTTGATTGGACATCTGCCTTCGGCTCAGGTCATGATCCCAGGGTCCTGGGATCGAGTTCCGCATCGGGCTCCTTGCTCAGCAGGGAACCTACTTCTCCCTCTGCCTGTGGCTCCCCCTGCTTGTGCTCTCTGTCTCTGATAAATAAACAGATAAAATTTTTTAAAATAAATAAATAAATACATACATACATACATACATAAAATCTTTTAAAAAATTTCTTTTTCAAAATAAAAACATACACTATTCACTAAAGAAAAAAGAAATTGTCCTTGGGGCACCTGGGTGGCTCAGTCGGTTAAGTGTCCAACTCTTGGATTTTGGCTCAGGTCATGATCTCAGGGTCGTGAGATCAAGCCCCATGTCAGGCTCCATGCTGGGTGTGGAGTCTGCTTGATATTCTCTCTCTCTCCTTCTCCCTCTGCCCCCCCAAAAAGAAAAGAAATTGTCCTCTATCTCTTTCCCCTTTCCACTCCCCCATTCTCAAAATCAGTCTTTATTTAGTCATTTAATCCTCACAAGAAGTAAGGTAAGTGTCATTCATCATTACCTCCATTTGACAAGTGCAGAAACTGAGGTTCTGAGAGGTTCAAGACCAAATAGCTAGTACGTGGGTGACCAGGGTTTCTGGAAAAGAATTTTCAGATACGGGGGAAGGTAAAGATAGTAAACTCCTTCACTTATGCTGAGAAGAAGGGGCTATGATAGAGGGTTCCTAGAAGATATCTAAATGAACCAAGACTGGTAACAGGATTTTAAAGAAACTCCTGCTCTAGTAAGACAAGACCAAACAGAAACTGTAACTCAAAAAGCCAGTAAGGCAGTCAGCTATCAGCAATCCTGCCCTCCCAGAAACAGTACAAATTATCAATAAGCCTGACAAAGTAGGACTTCCTCTCTGAAGAGATCCATACCTTTGCAAACCAGTCCTTACCTCCCCAATTCCAAAATGATGTAACACTTTATCCTGTTAGAGACCACAGCACTATTCAGATCAAAATAAACATTTTTTAGACTGAGTCACTTGAAGGCAGAAACAGTATGTTACTCATACAGATGTTTCCTTCATTATCTGGTACACAATCCCTATACATTCAATACATTTTTGTTTAAAATTGAAAAACGTATTCATCCAACTCCCATGTGCTAAGCACTATTCTAGGAGGTGGTGATACAGCAACAAGCAAAACAAAGTCCTAGCTATCATGAAATTTACATTCCAGTGGCAGGTGACCAATAATAAACAAACTATAGTAAAGAGAGTCTCTAGAACAGTGCCTGGCCATAGTAGGCATCCCTCAATAAATATATGAATAATGAATGAACAGGACATCAAAGAGTAATAAGTTCTGTGGAGAAAAACAAAGTAGGGAAAGAGAAGAGTGAAGGCAGAGGGCAGGAGATGGCTTTTACTTTAAATAGGATGGTCAAGGGATGCTTCACAAACTAGATGACAGAGCAGAAACCTGAAGGAGGTAAGGGAGGAGGCCATACTGGTAACTGAAAGAAGTGTTCGAGACAAAGAATACAACTACAGAAGTCCAAGGCTTGGCATTTTGGAGCAACTGCAAGGAGACCAGTGTGTCCAGACCACAAGGGGAAGGTGGTAGAAGATGAGGTCAGAGCAGCCTGGAGAGGGTGCTGCTGAAGATCCTATGTGGCCTCCTAGACCACTGTAAGGACTTTAATTTTTAACATGGGTGGGACCCAGAGGACAGTTTTCAGCAGAGGAGTGGCATGATTTGATATATACTTAACAGGATTACTCTGGTCACTGTTCAGATTAGACCAAGGGAAGACCATTTTAGAAGTCTATTCCAAAAGTAGTAGGGGTAAGAAGTCTTCAAAATCCTGGATTTTTTTTAAGGTAGAGCTTATAGGATTTGCTAGCAGACTGGATGAGGAAAGTAAGAAAAAGAACAGAGTCAGCGTGCCTGGGTGTTTCAGTTGGGTAAGCGTTTGCCTTTGGCTCAGCTCATGATCCCAGGGTCCTGGGATTGAGCCCTGCGCCAGGCTCCCTGCTCAGCGGGGAGCCTGCTTCTCCCTCTCCCTCTGCTGTTCCCCCAGCTTGTGCTCTCTCATTCTCTGTCAAATAAATAAATAAAATCTTAAAAAAAGAAAAAGAACAGAATCAAAGGAGAGTCCTCCATAGATTCAATACAACTGAAACAAATGGGGAGGAACTGGCAGAGTACACATTTGAAGATTTATTTATTTATTTATTTATTTGAGAGAGAGAGCAGGAGTGGAGGGAGGGAGAGTGGGAGAGAATCCTCAAGCAGACTCCCCACTGAGCATGGAGCCTGACGCGGGGCTAAATCTCACAACCCATGGGATCATGACCTGAGCTGAAACCAAGAGCCAGCTGAAACCAGAGCTCAAACGCCTGAGCCAACCAGGAGCCCCCAGAGGTACACATTTGAGAGAAGTATTTGCTGAATATGTTAAGCTCAAGAAGCTATTAAATAACCAAGTAGAGATGATATCCTGGAGACTGTTAGATATGAGAGTCTTGAGTTCAGGCGAAGACATCCAAGCTGATGATATACACTTGAGAACTGTCAGGGTAGGTACAAATGGTATTTAAAGTCTTGAAAGAGAGCATCTAGGGAATGAGTGTAAACAGAGAAGGGATGCATGGACTGATCTGAGTACTCCATCATTAGAGACGAAGAAGATAAGGAGGATTCAAAAGGGGGCCGGATATGAGAAGCCAAAAAAGGGGGATGAGGCTGAGAAGGACGGGCCAGTGAGGCAGGGGGAAAACCAAGGAAGCCAAATAAAACTAATGTGCAAGGAGGGAGTGTCAGGTGCTACAGAGGGCTCAAGATGACTAAGAAATGACCACTGAATCTGTGTGCTACTTTCTAAGCACCTTCTTCCCTACTCCACATAGTACTTTTTTTCTTTTAATCCAGGTAAAATCCCAGTATTGTCTAATGAATACACATAAGGTTTTTATTTAATGCAACTATAACCATGTCTCAAAAAACAAAAAACAAAAATCAATGTGCTTAATCCGGACACAAAAGATTTCACACAGCAAATAATGCTGAACAAATGCTTTGTCTGGCTGAATTAATTGTGTCTCTGAAACAAAGTTCCCAACTAAGTCTTGCTTGTGCTCAGTAGGTGGGATCAGAGAAATGAGCTATTTAAATGTATTTCTTTTGTTCTGCCATAAAGTAGCAATTATTCTTGAACTCCTTTCCCTCCTCCCTAACTCAAACATCCTAACCAGCTAAACAAAGACCCTAAATTTCCACACACACACACCCCTTGAAAACAAAGCAGAACACAATCAAATCCAAAACTTGGATAAGAAAGGGATATGCTATGCCCTATACCTTCTTTCCTTTACTCACAGAGGGTTAACAATCATTTGCTAATTCAAAAACTGCTTTATGTACATTTTCTCCTTAGAATCTCTAGACCAGAAGTACAATTTCTGATGTCATCTTAAAAGAGAATCACTGCTACAAAATAAGATGAACTTTCTGTGCTCTAGTAAGCATAACCAAGTCTTCATAATGTACACTTCTGAAGCAGAACAAAAATCACCAAAAACTGGATCATGCAAACATCCTTTCTGAAATGCCTTCAACTTCTGAATGGACTGTGCACTCTCAGCCTTTAGGCCTTTGTTTCCCTTCTCAGAGTTATCCTTTCCTGCCCTTCACCTTGCAATTTGCCAACTTGGGACTCAGCCTGAATGCCAGCTTCTCTAGGTACCTTTTCTGGATCCCCTCCAAGGCTGAATCAGGGACCCTCTTCTAAGCCCATAGCATCCTCTGCTTACTCATATCCTAATACATTAACGTATTATACTGCAAATCTGTTTACTTGTCAGTACCCCTCTCCAGATCATAAACATCTTGAAGGCAAGGACAGGATCTCATTCGTGTTTATATCCTTAGTGTTTGGGACATATCAAGCAATCTGTAAGTATTTGCTGACTGGGGTGCCTGGCTGGTTAGGTCGGCAGAGCATGAGACTTGATCTCAGAGTCCTGAGTTCAAGCCCCACACTGGGAGTTGAGTTAATTAAAAAAAAAAAAATTAAGAAAAGGAAAAAGTATTTGCTGACTGAATGAATAAGCTAAAATTTGACCTGGAATACTTCATGTGATCTTTGTAGCACATTTTCCTTGATGAACCAATTGAACTGAGGCTCATATTAAAATTACTGGCATCTTAATTACATCCCCAGCTGATAGCAAAAACAAAGAAATTTTCCCAACCTGACATTGCAAAGAGAGGATAAAAAAGAGATGTGGTGCTCAGAAGTTCTCACATCAGCTTCTCTTTCTTGGTTCAAGACCGCAGCCTATGCTTCCCACACCACACAAGCGGCAAATGGACCTCGGAATTGTTTTCTTCACATCTCTTCCACTGATCCTGTGTTCGCCTCTGCCCTCCGCCCTCGTCTTTTCTCTTTCCTTTCTTACCTTTGTTCCTTCCTTATTTTCTGTACTTTGCATTTATACTCTATTCTCATTTTCCCTTTAACTTTTCTCTGCACTCCCTTCTCCATGCTTTATTTCAGTCAGAGTAGCCCTGGGAATCCATGGGCATTACTTTCACCAACTAGAAGAACTTAGGACAGGAATGTTGCTATATCTCCTGGGCACTTCTGTAAAGCACACAAATATATTTCTTATGTTTCTGAGGAAACCCAGTAATAACCCCATAACAGCAGCACAAGATCATCAGTATATAAGATTAATATTACTACTCTTGTTACTATCCACAAAATGGGTAAGAAATATTTCTTAGGCCAGGGGCACCAGGGTAGCATCTAAGCAACTGACTCCTGATTTTGGCTCAGGTCATGATCTCAGGGTCATGAGATCGAGCCCCGAGTTGCGCTCTGCACTCAGTGTGGAGTCTGCTTAAGACTCTCTCTCCCTCTCCCCCTGGCCCCCACCTCTCTCTTGTGCATGGGTGCACTTTCTCTCTCTCAAATAAATAAATAAATCTTAAAAAAAAAAAAAAAAGTAGTAGGGCTCCTGGGTGGCTCAGTCGGTTAAGTGTCTGCCTTCGGCTCAGGTCATGATCCCAGGGTCCTGGGATGGAGCCCTGCATCAGAGCCTGCTTCTCCCTCTCCCACTCTCCCTACTTGTGCCCTCTCTCTCTCTCTGAAAAATAAATAAATAAGATTTTAAGAAAAGGAAGGAAAGGAGGGAGGGAGGGAGGGAGGTAGGAAAAGGATCAATCAATCTGCCTTCGGCTCAGGTCATGATCTCAGGGTCCTGGGATCGAGCCCCACATCGGGCTCTTTGCTCCGTGGGGAGTCCACTTCTCCCTCTCACTCTCCCTCTGTGTTCTCCCACTTTCTCGCTCTCAAATAAAATCTTTTAAATAAAGTGGTAACTATCATTAAAAATATATACATATATATATTTCTTAGGCTATACTCTGTAGTATCCCAGAAAGTGATAGAGTCAAGGTCCTCTCAATTTACTATAATTTCAAATAAAAGAAAAATGAGAAGCTAATTCTGAAGGGGTAAGAGAAAAAGAAATCATGATGGTTTTTTTTTTTGAAAAAATGCTGCATGTTGGTAGGGCAAATTTAAAAAGCTATAATATTCTTGCCAGACCAGGTAGGTTAGGGGGAAAAATGTGGTCCCTGCCTCCAGAGTCTCCAAAGGAATAATTCCCACCACTTCCCAAACCCATAAATGTAAACATTACAAAAAAAAAGAAGAAAGAGGTTTTCTTAAACCAAAAGTATCAGGAACCTAACATAAGTGGACTGGTTGCTCTGGGACAGAAGAATAAAGACTGGATTGAAAGCTGTTTGAGTTAAAGATAAAATTATTCCATGCATCAAAGCCTCAGAAGCCAAGAAGAGAACAAGACACAACTAATAGTCAAGAGACCCAGCTAAAAAAAAAAAAAGAGAGACCCAGCTCAGGTCTGACAAGCTGTGTCACCTTGGGCAAGTCACTTCACTCTTCTGATCCATAGATGGCTCTTCTATAAAATAGGCATAATAATACTTTCCTGGCAAAGTTGTCTGTGATGATTAAGCAATGTGAAATCACTTCAAAATATTTCACATAACATGCCAATGGGAAGTAAAAGGGAGCAAAAATCCTTCCTTTGAATGGAATATAAATCCTGTGGTTCAATTCCAAAGTCTAGGCCTGACTCACCTTCACAACCTTATTAAACTCGTTAACTAACCTGCAGTCATTCAAATGGGAGAAGAGTCATGCAGGAGGCTCCAGGGGTGGGGCAGTGACTGTTTAGTCAATTGTTCCATATCTCAGTGGCTTCATCTGTAAAATGGGTGGTGTGGAATTCACTCATATAGCCACAAGATACTGCAGGTCTGGGGAAGGGAGTGGAGAATTTACCATAAGTGAGTAAAATGTTTACATAATCCTCCCCCCCTCAGAGATAAAGAACCAAGATCATCAAATATCATCTCTCCCTAGACAGAATTTAGATAGAATTAGAAGACATCATTTAATCTCTTGTTTTACAGATGGGAAAACCAAAGCCCAGTGTTGAACTGGGTTGTAAACTTCTCAAGCCAGACAGTGGGAGAGCTGGAGCTGCGGGCCAGAGCCACAGATTCCCAAGTCCAGTGCCCTCTACCAGACTTCCAGGTCACCGACAGCACCTGTAGCCTGTACAACACATTATCAACACCAAGACACATTACAATTTAACCAACAGCTAAATGTGGCCTATGGGGGCAGAGAGGGCTTGTAGGACTCTGGGGGAAACAGAGAGGCTGAGAGCTGGGAAGGGGAAGTCTTTACTGGGGGGCGGGGGGGAAATTTCAGGCAAAAAAGGTTTAAAATAGGCAGTCTTGGGAAGACCCAATGTATACAACTGTCTTTAGGGAAAATAAGTATGTGGCAGATTTAAAGGACCAGAGTAGTTTGAATCAGGATATAATTCCTAATTATATAATTTCTGTCTCCTCAGTTTTCAACATTTACTAATTTTAATTCCCTAAACAATTCTGTCTCCTCTATAAAACAAGGCCCTCTGCAGAGACCACATCTTGCATAGTGGTAAATATACAGACTCTGGATTCAGATTGCCTAGATTCAAATCCCTATTTTACTATTTAACAACTGTGCCTTAGACAAAATCCTTCACCTCTCCCTATCTCTGCAAAATGGAAATTAACATCACCCCCATCTCAGGAGGTTTTGTGAAGATTAAATGTGTACATTAATCATTCTGGTCATTGGGGCGCCTGGGTGGCTCAGTCGTTAAGCGTCTGCCTTCAGCTCAGGTCATGATCCCAGGGTCCTGGGATTGAGCCCCGCATTGGGCTCTCCACTCCGTGGGAAGCCTGCTTCACCCTCTCCCACTCTCCCTGCTTGTGTTCCCTCTTTCCCTGTGTCTCTCTCTGTCAAATAAATAAATAAAATCTTAAAAAAAAAAAAATCATTCTGGTCACAACCTAATAATGGGTTTCTCATCATTTTAATTTTGATGCGCCTTTTTATTTCACGTAAAAGAATAGAAATTACCAGAGTACACTGCATATAGTAAGAATAAGTGTTGTTTTGCAAAGACTTTGTTTTATATACGTGTGCATATATGAGTTATTTTGTAAAATTTATCTCTTATGGTGGTTTGCTTTTAAAACGATTGGGGCACCTGCCTGGCTCAGTTAGTGGAGTATGCAATCTTGATCTTGGGGTTGTGAGTTTGAGCCCCACGTTAGGTGTAGAGATTAAATATGCAAAATAAAAAAATATGAGAGCCACTGAATTATCATACAGAATAACGCTTCACACAGTGCCTGGCACAGTAAGCACTTAGTATTACTGTCATTGTTGCTTTTATGTACCCACCTGCTGAACTTATTTGTAGAATTATATAAGGTAATGCAAAAGTACTTCAGAAACTATGATACAGGACATTAATGCAAGTGAAAAGCAGCAAAAAGCCCTTCTCTCCATCTCTAACACCCACACATGTAGAGCCCTATTCAGGCACATATTCCTTGTTTGGCCTACAAGTTATTTGTTACATTAAACTGAAGAGTTCACAGACTACGATTTACCTAACACTGTCATGCTCTGTCAATATTTCCAGAGAAATGGAGGCTTGGAGCCAAAGCAAAATTATTTATTTTTACTTGGTTGGGACATTGGGGTGAGGAAGACTGAAGTCATGCCCACCGGCAGCTGAAGGAAGCAAGTGAGTCACACAGAGAAACTGCTTGCTCCCACAGAGCCAGGTAGGTTTAAATGTGCTGCAGACAAGGCTGGATTGACAGATACTTCAGCCTTTGGGTAGGGCTGAATCATTTCCCCCTCCCTATTGTCACCCAAACACCTCATTTAAAAAAATAGCATTTGAGCCTCTTACAGGTATAGCTCACGCCAGGAAAATCTGGGAATCCCCAAACAGATACAAACTGGGGGTGACTATGCACCAAAAGTTTACCTGAGGGGTTCTTTAAATGACAAGCTCACCTAAACATTCGAATAGCACTTGAATTCTAAAACCATGATTTACAGAAAAATTTGAAAATGTGCTCACCAATAAGGAAATCAGAAGGTCTGGATTCCATCCTCCACACTGTGTGACCTTGAATTAGTCACTTCATCTCTCTGGGCCTAAGTGAATTCGTCTGTTAAAAAAAAGAGAGAGAGGTAACACCTACCTCAGATCATTGTAAAAATTCAAGATAGTATGCAGTAAAATGCTAGCACAGCATCTGGCACTGGTAAATGCACAATAACATCTGTCTCTGTTCCTCTACACTAAAAGTTAACACCAGTTGTGGGTAAACTGAGGTTCACCAGCCAGCTGGCCTCCAAAAAAGGTCACTGGTATCTGAATTGCTTCACGGAAACTTTTTTTTTTAAGTTTTTTTATAAGACCAGTTCTTGGTCTCTCCTGTGCTAAAAGTCTAGCAAATCAGTAATTTCCCATTTCATTTCTTAAAGCAGCTATTCCTAGATGCTTCGGTACTGGGGGCCCAAATTATCCACTGGTACTGCCCCCCCCATTACTCATTAAATTTAAAACTAACAACTCAGTATTATGCCTACATTTTACAGTTATAAACGTTTCCATTTTAAATTAATGGGAGGAAATGCATTAAAATTCAGCAGCCGAGGTTTGGACCAGGGTGGCCAGAGCAATCGCTGCGAGGGTAAGGCTCCAGCCAAGAAGCACGGGATGGGGGCTGGGAGCATTCTGGAGCTTTCGGGTCTACCCCAGTTTCTCGTTGGCGAAGAATCCAGGCCACGTGTCGCCATTTTGTGTTCTGGAAACATGGCGGCCACCCCGTGGGGAAGAAAGGGGGGCGGAGGGACCGCCACGTTAGCCGCTTTCCCTGAGGGATCCTGAAGCACGTTGCGCACACATCTGTCTGTGTGCCTTTACTGTCTGGCTTAGCCGAAGTAAAGAGAAAGGGATAGAAATAAACGTACACAAGCCACGCAAGCGACCTTTCTTTAGTGAGAGGAACGTGCTGTGGCGAACCGGCAAGAAAGGCCTTCCAAGATGGCGGGGCCCGAGAGGGGCCGCCCCCGGAGAGAGCGGGGCGCGGCGTCTGCACCAAGCGGGGAAACGGGGGAAAAGGCAGAAGCGGGAGCTTAAACGGTGTACGGAAAATCGGAAGAACCCCCCCACACACACACAGCACTACTCGGCACACCATTGTCTTAAATGTCTGACAAGACTGCCACGACTAAAACGACACTAGGAGGGGTTTCTGCAGGTTCAACCGAAAAAAACTTGCAAAATGCAAACAAAGCATTATGTAAATGGACGCCATTCTTTTTCTACGGCCATGTTTCCAGCACTTCCCAGAAATCATCAGCAGAGCCGCAACTTGGGGGGCGGCAGGGGTGGGTTTCGGTCTTTCTCCACACAAGCCGCCGCTGGGGTACCGGGGCAGGGGTGGGGGCTGGCGCGGGGCGCCCGGGCACCGGGGACGAAAGGGCCCCACGTGCCTGCTCGCGCGCGCTCGCGCGCGCGCACCCACCCCACAAGCCTCGCCTCGCCGCCCCTCCCCCCCGGAAGACCGCGGCTGCCCCTCCCGTCTCCCCACACCCTTGCGCACGCGCTTTAGCCGCCTCACGCGCACGTTTTAAACCCGCGGCGTCCCAGCTGCCGCCTGCAGTTACTTTCGGGGCTGTCCGTGTCGCTCCGCTTCCAAACCCCTTTTGTTAGGCGGGAAAATAATGTGTCATCCACCATTCACAACACTAACATTTCCAAACATTTGCCAGTGCCGCTATAGAGTTAATAAAATGCATGTTGGTTTTAAAACCTTGCCGGACTCACAGAGTCTGCCTACTGGGGCTTTATTTTCAATGCTAGGCTGTTAAAAGAGTTTTTAAAAACTACCATGTGGAGGTTGGCGCAATCTTGTGACCTAAAAAAGACGGGTCCTCATTTTTTTTCAAGGGGTCCTGCGCGGCAAGCACTTCCGGGGTCAGAGGGTACGCGGGGTTGAAAGCGGGCTTCCCGCCCCGCCCAGACCGCCGAGGCTGCCGCCGGAGTCGCCACCGCCGCGCCCTCGCCCACCCGCCCGCCCGCCGCTCCCGGCCCCGCTCGCCCCCTCCGCCGCCGCCGCCCGCCCCTGCGACGACGCCGCGGCCTCCCGCCCGCGCCCGCTCGCTCCCGCGGCCCTCGCTCGCCTCGCGCCGGCAGTTTTGGGCCTACACCTCCCCTCCCCCCGCCAGCCACCAAAGACTTGACCACGTAACGAGCCCAACTCCCCCGAACGCCGCCCGCCGCTCGCCATGGATGCCGGTGTGACTGAAAGTGGACTAAATGTGACTCTCACCATTCGGCTGCTTATGCACGGAAAGGAAGTAGGAAGCATCATTGGGAAGAAAGGGGAGTCGGTTAAGAGGATCCGCGAGGAGAGTGGCGCGCGGATCAACATCTCGGAGGGGAATTGTCCGGAGAGAATCATCACTCTGACCGGCCCTACCAATGCCATCTTTAAGGCCTTCGCTATGATCATCGACAAGCTGGAAGAAGATATCAACAGCTCCATGACCAACAGCACGGCGGCCAGCAGGCCCCCGGTCACCCTGAGGCTGGTGGTGCCGGCCACCCAGTGCGGCTCCCTGATTGGGAAAGGCGGGTGTAAGATCAAAGAGATCCGCGAGAGTACGGGGGCCCAAGTCCAGGTGGCGGGGGATATGCTGCCCAACTCCACCGAGCGGGCCATCACCATTGCTGGCGTGCCGCAGTCTGTCACCGAGTGTGTCAAGCAGATCTGCCTGGTCATGCTGGAGACGCTCTCCCAGTCTCCGCAAGGGAGAGTCATGACCATTCCGTACCAGCCCATGCCGGCCAGCTCTCCAGTCATCTGCGCGGGCGGCCAAGATCGGTGCAGCGACGCTGCGGGCTACCCCCATGCCACTCATGACCTGGAGGGACCACCTCTAGATGCCTACTCGATTCAAGGACAACACACCATTTCTCCGCTCGATCTGGCCAAGCTGAACCAAGTGGCAAGACAACAGTCTCACTTTGCCATGATGCACGGCGGGACCGGATTCGCCGGAATTGACTCCAGCTCTCCAGAGGTGAAAGGCTATTGGGCAAGTTTGGATGCATCTACTCAAACCACCCATGAACTCACCATTCCAAATAACTTAATTGGCTGCATAATCGGGCGCCAAGGCGCCAACATTAATGAGATCCGCCAGATGTCCGGGGCCCAGATCAAAATTGCCAATCCAGTGGAAGGCTCCTCTGGTAGGCAGGTTACTATCACTGGTTCTGCTGCCAGTATTAGTCTGGCCCAATATCTAATCAATGCCAGGCTTTCCTCCGAGAAGGGCATGGGGTGCAGCTAGAACAGTGTAGGTTTCACTTATAACCCCTTTCTGCTGTTTTCCCATGATCCAACTGTGTAATTTCTGGTCAGTGATTCCAGGTTTTAAATAATTTGTAAGTGTTCAGTTTCTACACAACTTTATCATCCGCTAAGAATTTAAAAATCACATTCTCTGTTCAGCTGTTAATGCTGGGATCCATATTTAGTTTTATAAGCTTTTCCCTGTTTTTAGTTTTGTTTTGGGTTTTTGGCTCATGAATTTTATTTCTGTTTGTCGATAAGAAATGTAAGAGTGGAATGTTAATAAATTTCAGTTTAGTTCTGTAATGTCAAGAATTTAAAAATTAAAAAATGGATTGGTTAAAAAATGCTTCATATTTGAAAAAGCTGGGAACTACTATCTTAAACTCTTTGTTGGTGGTTTTTTTTCCCTTCCCTTTTAGCGTTAGGCTTTTGTAGGGAAAAGGGTGGGCCCATCCTCGGTGTTCTCTCTAGCTCTTTTCACCTATTGGTAAGATTCCATTCCCTTTCTGCCCCAACAAAGGAACACAGCAGGCTGGGCCTGCTTTGGGATATTTGCAGACGGAGGGGCTTTCCCGGAGAGTGATATCCCTCCAAGTCCCAGAGAGGCCTCTGCCCATTTCTCTGGTAGAAAACAAGGGTTTTCTGAGATGGAAAAAGTAGCCCATTCCATAGGAACTCCAATGAATGGCAGTGTGTCCTCCCGTCCAGCCAGCCCCACCCCTCAACCCAATCTCACAGGGGAAACTTAGCCAGGAACAACAAAAAATGTTCTAAGGTGGGAGGAGCCTGGGGGGGGACCCAAAGAAGAGATGGGGGAGGGGAAAGGGCTGGGCTGGGGCTGAAGGGAGGGGCTGAGGTGGGGGGAAGGGAAAGGGTCAAGGGTGTGTTTGAGGAGTCGGAAGAGGGCAGGGGTGGTGATAGGGATGGAGGGGTCTTGGGCCCCAGGACTGGATGGGGGATGGTACCAGTGGGGTACACGTGGCAAGCATGCACCTGTGGCAAGCAGCCTGTCAGAGGATGTTATTACACCTGCCAAGTGGTGAATCCAGAAACAAAAGAGGCCCGGCTTCTAATTCTTCAGCTGTGTGCAATGTTAGAGAAGTCATTATACCAGGAAATAATCCTGCCTAAATGGGGCAGCCCTCACAGGCAGGAATGTAGCTAGATCCATTGACTGTAGCCTAAGAATGTGGTGTTAAAAATGCAGATACTTGGTACCCACCCCCAAATCTAATCGGAAGACTGCATTTTTAATAAAACCCCAAAAGGTTCTTACTAAGTGCCACTGATTATCTTCACCAATGGATTAGGAAGATCTTGCTGTGGAGGCCTAATAACCTCATGTCCACACCAGCCGTGGGACTAGACTGGACTTTATGAGAAAAAAAATTCTCTATGATGAGGCAAAGGCACTAGAAAATGGCAATACAAGACAATGGGCAATTAAGTGCCAAAGTGCTTAGTTCAAACCCCAGGCACTGTGGGAGATCACTAACAGCGAAGAGAAATTCCCGTGGGAGGGGAGTATTGCACACAATAAATACCTCTTGAGGCTTATTCTCTACAGGATATCTGCTTTTTTCTGAGGCACAAACCTGGTTCCAAGAATCCCTGGAGGTAAGACTGGGGTCTACCATGCACTTCACACCCACTGTGGAGTCAGGCAGTCACTGAAAACCCAATTTCTGGAGTTAAACCTGAGTTCAAATTTGAGTCCGGCCTCTTGTGGCCTTGGGCAAATTATTTAACCTCTGTATAACATGAAGGTGTTAAAAGTACAGATCTCTTGGGCTTGGGCGGAAAAATGAGCATGTTTGTAAAGCAGAACAGTGCTTACAACGTAGCAAACTTAAATATACTTCAGATTGCAAAAAGTCAAAGGTCCATTTCTGCCCACAGTGTCTTTGGACAGAAAAGACATATTTAAAAGAGAACAAAGCAATGTGTACTAAATGACAAGCTGAGAGAGGACAGTTGGACTGAGGGGCCAGGACAGGTAAGGGAGGACCTAGTGAAAACCCAGAAACGGGTTCATTGTTTTCTGGAGATAATGCGCATAAACCAAGTTTGCGAGGAGTAGGGCAGGAGTGAATAAGTTGAACCGGTCAAACCCAGGCCAAATGGTTTTTAAGGAGTCCCTAAAATTTGTTGGGTGAAGTGGTTCAAATGCCCTAAAAAAAGTAGACCTCAAATTGTCCTCAACCCCTTTTCCTCCCACCCTTTCAAAGGCAAAGCTGGCAACAATTTGTAAAATAATGACATAGGCTACAAGGCATAGGATGAAGGGCAACTTGGATGGACTGCAGTCAGGAAGAGCAGTTAGAAAATGGCCTCAAGCGGATTCTAATAACAGGTGGGGCAGCAATATCACTAGGAATACATGTAGAAAGGAGCCAAATACAAGGGAGATTCAAACTGAGTGTGAAGGCCAAAGAAAGCTAGAAGGAGGGGAGCCATGAATTCAGACATGGTGATGTGACTATTTGCAGGGAGAAATATTCAACAAGTAGCTAGAAATAGACAAACTGAAGGGAAGTCAGAGCCTTAGGGAGACAGGTAAATGAGAGGAAGGGGCTAGAGATTGAGCTTTAGGGTAAAGGACCTAGTCTCCTTGTTCACCACGGTAACTCTCATGCCTGTCACCATAATATATTAACAGGAGCTCAGTAAGTATCTGTAGAATGAATATAGAAGTAGCCAATGAAGAAGCAATAGTCAGAGCAGCCTGAGAAAAACCAGGATAATGCCCTTGAGAGGAGTCAAGGAGGAAAGTTTCAAAGCTGATGAAGACAATAATGCTACAGAGAGGTTTAACAGAATTGATTGAACATTTACTTTGTGCAAAATACTTTGAACTAAAATTTGATGTTTTGGTACAACTGGAAGATGTGTAGTAGCTGATTATAGTTAAAAGCATAGTACGTGATAAATAAGGGAAGGGGAGTTGGAGGAAGCCACAAAATCAGTTGAGGCTAAAACAGCCTTGAATGCCATAATAAAGGGTTTGAGCTTTATCCTGAAAACTAGTGAGCTTCAGGGCGCCTGGGTGGCTCAGTTGGTTAAGCGACTGGCTTCGGCTCAGGTCATGATCCTGGAGTCCCGGGATCGAGTCCCACATCGGGCTCCCTGCTCAGCAGGGAGTCTGC